ATGCAACGTTTTCTATTAAAATTGTCAAAACATGTAACTTCATATAGATATAATAAAAATATTTATAAAATTAATAATAGTGCCAACTAAAATAAATTTCTGGCTCGGCCGCCAAAGGTGCAAAAGCATGACACGATGAACCAAACAAACGCTCTTAACATATAAATAGCACAAATAAAAGCTTTCCCGAAAGTTAAAGCGAAAGGTTCTCCCTCCAATATACATGAACAGCAAGAAGCTTCATTTAAAACAGCTTTTTAACTACAAATTATTCATTTTATTTTCAAGAAATTCGCTTAAATAAGTAGAATTAAAAAGCATAGCAAAATTATGATGGAGGAAATAATCAGGAAATTTATTTTAACATAATATGTTTCAGACGATATTGAACAGAAGAATGAGTTTTACCTGGAAGGGGGCTGAAGTGAGGGCCAAGCGATTTCATCATCGTTAGTGTATCCGTTGACGAGGAAATCGGTGCAGTTCCTTCTACAGCCGAGATTATATGGATTACGGAAACGCCCGTCGGGGCCACGAAGATAAGAGTATCGACCAGCATTAGCCATTTCATTAGTAGTTATGTTTCGCGCTATCTGCACATAATAAAACCATTCGGATAAATTAATCAAGCAGCTATGAAATACCTATGTTCAGAGTTGCAGGAGATTCAGAAGGGGCATTATTGACAGGCATACCACCCAAATCTTAACATCATTTCAAAAATAATACCATCATTACCCTTTTCTTTTTTTTAAGTGATATGCACACTCTTCAAGCATTGGGGTTATATTAGACCAATGTGCTATAAGTGCACATATTAAATTTTCAGTTATATATGCAAATACATAAGAGTTGTGTGGTATGTATGTAAGTTGCCCATTGAAGAAAGATTTACATACATACCACTTAAATTTTATGTATTTACATATCCAACACCTAAACTTACAATTTTTAGGCACATGCCACCTTAACTATGCATCAAATGGTATATTTCACTTAAAAAGTTATAAACGTGGTATTTTGGTGTGATATGAAAGATTTGGGTGATATAAATATAAAAAGAAAAATTTAGGTGTTGGATATCTAAATACATAGGAATTGGGTGGTGTGTATGTAGATGTCACCTAAATCAAACTGTACTTTGATATTCCTCCACATAAATAAATAAATCTACATAATAAAGAGTTACTTCCGTGCTCATCTTCATATATGGTGACAAATCGTGGAATCTATCCATTGAATAATGTACAAATAAAGTAATGACTGAATTAAGAAAAAAAAAGATGAAAAAGATTAGAAAGTCGCCTAAAAAGAATTAAGGGAACACACCTCATAATGCAATTTTGGAGTTGATGAAGTTAAAGATTTGGTACGCCCAAGATACTATGGGTTTTTCACACTTATATTCTCTTGCTCTTCTCGGCTTGAATAAAGAAGAAAAAGACGAGACTTTGGGACTCATGGAAAACCATTCTTGCTTGTAATTCTTAAGTCATAAGAGCCATAATTTGAGGGACAAGATGATCGACTCTAGTTGATTTCAAGATGGGCCCCCAAACCCAACATTGAAAGTGGATTATAATCCACTATTTTCCAATCATAAAATGAGGTTATGCAAAAAAAAAACTAACATTTTTTGCTCGTTTGGCCAAATTGAGATAATTTGCTTCAACCTTATATAATCAATGACACATAATTGCATGATTGATCGTAAGTAAAGTTGGACCTCTTAATAAACAAAATGCAACCGCTAGAGCCACATAGTGTATGGTTCGAATAGAGACACACTATGGCATTCTCAGAATTGTCATCTATTTTACCTTTTCTTATCTCAATATAAATGATGTCCCATTTCAAAAACAAATATTTATACAAATGATGTGAATATTAACGGCTCTGGTCCAGAAAGTGTGCAATAATTACATGACAGATTAGGCTAAAAGTTGGTAGCAGGATTATTTATGTGCGCCAAGAATATTATTTTATCATTAAGATTTGCTTTGAACTTTTACACCAATCGTATTGGTGACGAGAATTCTATTACAGGTGAGTCCCACAATTCTTATTGATTCCTATAGCTAATCCCTAATTTTGGTAACCCATGACTGGTTATACCTAAGGGTTCTTCGAATTGGTGAACATCCCGTTGCTATCTGCGGATGATTACTTGGGGATTTCCATTTTCCTGAAGCTGACTACTATGTTTTTCAAGGGTTTTCTAGTTTCGTCTTTGAATCATTTATTTTTCTATCCTGTAATGCTCTATTTCTTGGATCTATGGTTGACACTTTAAATTATAACAAACATTAAGGAAGGGCGTGAATCCTCTAAATTCAATGAAATGAAACATTCAAGTGATTCAGTAAGCATACAAAAGTAATAAGAGTCAAATTAAAATTACTTGATGGAAGAATAAATCCTTTATCCATATTTCAATTCCTTGATCAAGTGACAAACTTTGATTCCAAGGGAGATTATTTCACCGTACAAATGTGAGAATTGAGCTATTGTTCTAAGTTTTTATTTTCTTTTTCTTCTTTTAGTCATGTTCATAACATTATTGATCCTTATTATTAGTTTCTAATCTTTTTATCTAAATTGATTTTCAATGTGTTCTCAATTTTTGTCCATATAATCATTAGCGATGAGCCTAAAACCCCAACAATATATGACTTATGATATGGGGGATCGTATGAGTAACTTAAGTTAGTGGTTGCGAGAAATAGGTTTGCACAAAGGAGTTCCACTACAAAACTGTATTGCTCGATTTCACAAATGTGAAAAGGTATGGGATACGTACTCCTGTCAACTTTAGTAAGATTGAATTGCAATAAATTGCAGTCTTAATTTCAAGCTGGAAATCATAAGTTAATATTAATGCACAGTAAACAAAAACATTATTTTTTTACCTGTGATGCCATTGATATTGTTAAAGCTGATGCACCTGCTAGTAAGATCGTATCCAACACGAGGAAAGCGACTGCTCCAGGATGTTCCGTCGCCATATAATGCATCCACCTTCCAGAAGATGGTTTGACCGGTGATCCCGTCCACATCCCTGCATTTGACATTGACAGTTATTCACTGTACACCGGACAACAAAGAAAGAAATTTTGGCCACCTTCGGAAACATACTGTAAACTGCAGTGATACCGCCAAGAAGAGAAGTTAGGCATCCCAAGCAAAGAAAAACAAAGAAGTCCCATTTATTTTTCTGCAGCAGAGAAAGAAAATTTAGGAAAGTATGCAACCAAAGCTGTATAGAAGGATCTATCATAACTCACAATTAGATGAGTGCATTAAACCATATTTATGCAGAACGAATGAATAAAAAGGCATAAATCTAGTTCTAACCTTCCCAACGCAGTTGGATATCCATGGACAATGATGATCAAACTGATCCACACAATGCTTACATGATGGGCAGTGTTTGGATCGCAGAGGCCTGATTATCTGATAAGAAGCTTAAAAAAGGTCAAGGAAAATTCTTCAAAAAATGCACCTTCAAAGGATAAATATGAAATCAACACTCAAAAGATGTGAGTTTCTAAACATAGCTACAAAAAACATTCTGTGATTTTTCATTCTAATAAATTATTTCAGAAATGTGGGCAAGAACCTTGCAGGTAGGACAAAGCTGAGACCAGTTTCCTGTCCATATAGGTGAATTATTGGGATCAATTCCCAATAGAGCGTCCTGAGAGATGAGAGTAAGGATAATCATGTTCGAACTAAACACAAACTCTAAAGCATATTCATACATTTTAAAGTAGAGAATGGAGCACAAAAGGTAAAATGCTCCAACAACCATTCAAGAGGAACTTGAGTAAATGAGTTTCAAATCATTTGATAGAGTTCAGTAAACAATTGAACATAATTAATGATGCATAAATAGCGACATAAAAGGCAATTTATGTGCAGTACCTTTAACAACCGGAAAAAAAAAACGCATTCACATCTAACCCCGCACGGGGGCGCGAGCGCCCCCTTGCAAATCTCTATTCGTGGTTCTAGAGCAACGCACTAGGGGGAAGGCGAGCGGCTAGGCGAGTGAGAATGACTGTGAAGAGGAAGGCGACAAGCATATGAATGGATAAATTATCTCTTCTTATGCATTAAAAAGTTGATCGAGGATTGTGAGTGCGAGGGGAATCGCCGACCATGCAATCAATGACTTTGATGACTTCAATGGCTCAACAAGTCTATTTGAAAATACATAGGGAAGAGGAGGAAGAAACTCATAGGAACTTCCGGAGAAATTGAGGCAAAACAAAATATTTTATTTCATCAACACAAAACAGCACAACCCATATACATAAAAGATAAATACCTAAAATTTAAAAGGTAGAAGATCATTACCAAACCCTAACCCTCAAATTCAAGACAACAATCACACATATCCTAACCCTTAAAAAAATTAGCACTATACCCCACAATAATAACTAATAAATGACTAAATTGCCCTTTTAGTCTTTCGCCTAACATAAGTCTTCAAATTGTTTTGGCGGACTCACGTCGACTCGATGGAGGACGAGGCAAACAATGTTGTAGGCGCCGGTATAATACTAGTCCCGTCTCAAAAAATTATCTTGTACTCAAGATGGAAGAGAGGAAACTATTACTGGACAAAGTCATTTGACTCCCACGTGGCGTCATATAATCTGGCAATCACTTCCACTTCAACTCAATTATCTCTCTTTTTTTATGAATCATAGGCCAAAAAATGTCCATAATTTAAAATATAATGATACCAGAGTTCACCTAAATCAAAACAAACTAAAAATATTATTGTAAAATATGGGAAACTACAAAAACAAGATTCTCAAAACAGGAATAAAAATGACATCAACACACACAACGCCCTAGGGTGAGGACAAAGGTGGTGAGTGACGGCTAGACAACAAGTAGGGTGCATGTTGGGGGTTGCGATTTCAGGTGAGGGGTTTGGAAGGCGTGGAGACGGCAACTAGAAGGTATGAAAGGGATGTTGACGACAGTAGGAAGGATGGAGATGGAATTAAGGTAGTAGGCGGGGAGGTAGAAGGAGTTGCGACACAACAGAGAAGGAGGTGGGGGGGTTTGCGGTTGCAGGTTGGGAGGCAGAGAAGGTTATGACAGTAGGTTGGGAGGCAAAAGGGTGACGGCAGGCAAGGGAGAGGAAGCAGGTGATGGGTTATGGGGTGGTAGTAACCACTCACCTTGGAGCAGAGATATAGCCGGAACACCAACTGTCCTCGGATACAACCCTAGGAAGGGAGAAACGCCAATGACAAGAAATCTGAAACCAGCAAAACTGAAAACTTTAAACAGAGAACATAGAATATATATGGTAGTAGATAGCTTCATGGGGGGGTGGGAGAGGCCCCTCCATTTGGGCGGCAACTTCAAGTAGGGCAAGGGACTGGCCGATCCTGTGCAAACCAAGGCTGAACCGGCGGGGTTTAGCCTTCCCGCCGGTTAAACCCCATGCGCCCGCATCATGTAAGCTTTTAATTCCAAACCAAACCAATAGAATATCAGTGTGTCAAAAATGACCAACTGTGGCAGAACTAGGCTAAAATCATTTGATGTTTAGAGTTGGTCAAAATGTGATGATCGTAAGAATTTAAATGAACTTCCAGGTTAAAAACTTGCCTCTCCATAAAAATTTAATATTCATAAAAGCATCATGAAACTATAAAAGCGTTTCTAAGTGACACTGATTACTAATTACAAATGCAAGGAAAAAAATAAACACTTCTGCTTTTAAGCTATTCAGCATTTACGTTCAAAATACACACGTTAGAGGAATCTTTCTGTTGATTCAGGGAATTCAACTGGCGAATCAAACAGAGAACATGAATTAAAATTAAGTAAATATGATGCCAATGTATATAGAAAGAACACAAATATGAGACCATATCAGAAAAACAAAGACATCCAGAAGACCATTTATAAATAGAGTACATGTTTTTTAGAGTCAAGTCAAAAAAAAAAAGCTATTGGATAGACATAAAACTAGCTTAGTTAAAGCCCAGTCACGACAAGGGCAAGGCTGCGTGAAATATGACTTACAACCTTGATTATAATAGCTATTCAACAGATAGTTAGGAAAGGTTAGTGGAGATGATGCTGAGGATTAAAATTTATATCCATAAACCCCATTGGCCAACATTATTTCTAGTAAGAGCACAGAGAATGAAAAATAAATGGAAGATTGCAATAATTAGAATATGAACTTGCCAAAATAACAAAAGTTAAAAAATACATTATTAAGGTCCACATGATCAAGTGCATGTTGTTCATACATCAGCACCTTCATTGCTAGAGGAAATTTCTAATCTTGGTTTGATATAGCCTGGATCCTTGCTGAAAGAAGAAATTGAGAAGGCCAAAGAAAACTTTTAGGCTTTGACAAGTAAAAAAAAATTCCATATAAGAAGGCATTAAAACTTCAATGCCAAATTGACAGATAAAACCAAAGAAAAATCACATTGCATGTTATCAAATGAAAACCAATGAAAGAATCTAAAAGTCAACAAGAGCAGCCCTACGAGAAATTGAGAAGTGCGGACAATTAAGATAACTGATGATGGTGGGATGAGATGAGATAATGACTTGGCTACTAACTGGAAAGAAAAAAAAAATTGCATCTAAACAAGGGTATGAAAAGCAAAATTGTTAAACTTTGAAGAGTACTTGACACAATCGAGTGCTGAGGACTAAGCAGTAATGTAACATAAAGTCTGGTAAACAGTATTTCAAAACGAAGTCAAGCGAGTTGTTTGTAAACTAACAAGATTTGCTACCAAGACCAATGCTTTATACCCTTTATTTCAAGCTCGTTGAATGCTGAGCCATTTGACTATTTATGCAATTAATTAATTTGCCCTGTTTTTGTTATTTTCAGAAAGCACAAATATAATAGACCCGAGAATAAAAAAGGCTCGAATTTTGGAACAAAATTATATCTCAAGGCTACTCCTATGGTATACAAAATGTCACCTTAAAACTCCAAATAACTTACAAGTGTTGATGTCTTAAAAAAATAATAATTAAAAATTATTAATATTTTAATTAAAATTAATCAACTTAATTAATATTAAGCTAAATTTTGAACCTTCCTGCACGTCTCTGCACGTCAAATGATATTTCCGTATGCCTACCCACGCTCACTTTCAGTTGGTAGTTGTTCGCTTGAGCCACTTCTCTGGTTCAAAGTAAAAAAGCAATGACATACTTCGTAAATGCCCTCTCTCTCATTTTTAGACATCTGAATCTCTCCCTCATTCTCTCTTCTTCCTACTTCGTCCGTTTCCAGACCAAAGCCCTTACCTACCAAGCCAGTGAGAAAGCATGAAGTGCGACATACATATATCTCCGATCCTTTAAGCTTCACATGCGCGACACCGCTTGATCCTCCCTCGCGCCCAAGTCCTCCTTCCTGCCGCACGCATGATCCCCTCATTTCACCTCCCTTGTTCGCAGACAGAAGCACTCCTTCGAATAGCCCTCACCGCAACCCTTGTGATACAATCATTAGAAAGCAACGATGAGAACAGAGAGTACAAAGACCTCTGGAATGCCGGTCTTCCAATCTGATCCTCACACAACAGAGCTGCCCGTACTCCCCTCTATCGCTTTATCCTAATCCGAGCCACTTCTGCATCTTGCCCCACTTACCCTTCATAACCGCAGCCTTCACGGTACAGTGGTGTCTAGAGCTAGCTAGGGAAATAACAAAGGGATCATAACGTACAAAGATCCCCAAAATCCCAATCATCTTCTACTTCTGCTACTCCCCAACCTGTTCTTCTTCCTGCTCCACTCACGCCACCCATTATGCATTGCCCGAATGCGTCGTTCCTCCTTCGCATGACCCGCTTTCCTATTCCTCCCTGTTTGAAGAGCTTAATAGAGTCTGCAATAACTCTGTCCTATCAATTCGAAAAAGGGCAAGTACCCATATTTTGGAATTAAGGGTCTGTTTGGGACAGCTGCAACTTATCCAGCTTATCCAAATAAGCAGTTTATCCTGATAAACTACTAATCAACAGCTTATCCTGATAAGCTGACTGGCTGTTTATGACAACTATTTAAAAACAGCTGATTTGCAGCAAATTGTGAATAAATGACTAGTCTGTCTCTGTTAAGTAATGATGTTTGTATCTGAAATGTCTTGGCAATATAATCGATATTGCAGAAGTGGAAAACTAATACAAAACAATAAAGAAAAAAGATGAAACAGTCCACACTAAATAATGAGAATCAAGCTTAATAAAAAAACTTTCTATTAGAATCTCTATTGGAAATGTATAAAATATGGACATATTGAAACCAAAGCATACCAAATTATTCTCCAATTCTAGTCAATGGCCTAAATGAATAACAGAATGAAACCAAAATAGTAAAATGATAGTAAAATACTCTCGCCAATGCTGCAGCATCATGATCTAGCTGCTGATAAGAAAGGCAAGAAGCTAATGTACATCATGATAGAAATTGCATGGCATCATCAGTTAAAACCATAAGGAAAAAAAAACAAATTTCCCACATGCCATTCTTTGCAAAAACAGATTTCACTCCAAGCATAAGCAACTCTGATGATAAGCTATTCCATGTACTAGTCCCATCATTATAAGAAGAAAGGGCTAATTTTCCATGTGGCCTTTACAAAAATAGAATCCAATCCTTGCAAGGTTAAGAACATTGAAAGAGAGCTCTTCAACAGACTCATCTCTTCGTGATTTGAGCATACATTCAAAAGGGACATATGCTTTCTGCCATACAAATGGCAGTACAAATTGCACATTCTATGCTTGACATAAATGCACCGTCTCCTGCCTCGGTCTTATTCTGCATTTACACCCATCTTCTATTAATCTAAGTTGGAAAAAAAACTTATGCTATAACCAAACAATTCTTATAGTTGCACTGCCTTCCTCCCATCTTCCTCTTCAACTATTGTCTCTCCCCAAACTACACACACAATACAAACTTATGCTATAACCAAACTACGTCAAAGAATAATGGCGCTCACCCTGCCGACAAACCCCCCAAAAATCGAGGTCCAGAGTCCTACTCCACACCTTTCCCCGCCCACCAAATCAATTCATCGTCCTCTCCCGACGCAGAGATCGCCGGAAAGCATACTCACCATGACAAAGAAAGCAGTACTAATCGGATGCAACTATCCGGGGACAAAGGCAGAGCTCAAGAGTTGCGTGAACGATTTCCTGCGAATGCATCACAGCCTTCTCGATCGCTTCAACTTTGACGACAGTGACATTGAAGTCCTCATCGACGTCGACGAATCTTTCACCTAGCCCACAGACGCCAACATTCGTGCCGCCATCGCAGGCCTCAGTCGCTCTGCCAGGCCCGACGACAGCAAGGCATCGAGCGAGGAAGGAGATAGCAGGGCACGGGAGGAAACACCTCTTCAAGACGCGAGCCGCGGGGTCTATCCCATTGCCACATCTATCAAATAAATGAAAACTGAGTTTTTTATTAAACTCCCCAAAAGCATTTATCAAACAGGATAGCAGGCCCGCACTTATAAGCTACTCCAAACGGGCCCTAAGTATTGTTCAAGAAAACAGCTAACTCCTTTGACATTTTTTTATAAATTTAGGGGTTCTCAAATAACTGTCCTAAACACAATTACTCGTCATTAGGAACTAAGTATCATTCTGGAAAAATAAAATATCATTCAAAGAAATGCTTGCTTGTGATTTGACACCTTTCGCAAATGCATTAAAAATCCGTTGGTCTTTTAAGACCACGGGTTAAATACGTATTTTTGTTCCCCAGCCCTAGTGTCTCAAGGCGTTGATCAGTGAGTCTTTTAAGACAATTAAGAAAACTGGCATTCTCCCGATGCCCGCTAACGAGAGGTTGATGCTGAGAGGCTTCCAAAATTTCAAGTGATTTGGACATGTAAATAATTTAAAATTTTTGAATTTTTAAACTTATAAAATAACATAAAATTTGAATTAAATAAAATTTTAAATAATTTGAAATTTTGAGCTTTTAAAATTTAGTCACCTAGGGTTAAAAAATGTTTGAAATCTGGGTTTTTAAAATTTAGGCTCTTAAGATCTAAAAAATATTTAAAATTTAGATTTTTTTTTAAATTTAGGCTCTTTATGCATAAAAATAATTAAAAATTTGAGATTTAAAATTTAGGCTCCCACGGTCTTAAAAATATTTGAAATTTTGGGCTTTCAAATTTAGGCTCCTAGGGTATAAAAATAACTCAAACTTGGGATTTGAAACTTTAAAATCTCGCTACTGAATTCGCAATTCTACCTTGTAAGCGAACAGAAACCCGCTTTCAAAAAATTAAAGTAAACATATGAATGCATCAACCTACTCATTCAAATAAGGCAAATTCCCATAATTTCAAGTCTTATATGTTTTGTTTTAAAGCAATTATTAATTCAATTCATGCTTTAGAATTATGCAAATTGACTTGAGAAATGCAAAGTAATTAAAAATAAACAAATATATGAAATTAAAACCCGCACCACTGAAATGAACTAAGGGTTTAAAATTGAAGGGTCTGGAATGCTGAGCGAATTAAAAGTCGCTCCGATTTTGAAAAGTGTTTTCAGCAAGTCGCTCCTATTTTGAAAAGTGTACAACATTTCATTTTAAAGAGTCTACACCTATTTTAAAATTATAAAATCCCTATGACGAAATCAAACTCAAGATAATTAAGTTATTTAAGTTCTCAATCGGGTCTTGTCTAGAATACAGGATTGTAAGTCCCAACCAACTAATTTGATCATTCTCCTCGCAAGGACTGAACTTAACGAGTCTAATAATTTTGAAATAAATATCCAAATCATAAAGATAACAAAATTTACAAGTCCAAAGCACATAGTTTGATCCTCATCTTACAAAAACAGAAGTCGATCAGACTTATATTATAAAAAACCTAACTAACAAACACAAATGCACTTCAAATATAAAAGTTTGAAATGTCTAAATCCACGATAATGGTCGTGTTAACTGTAAAGTCACAACTGATGGGGCTTAATTTCAAACCAATATCAAATCTAAATTCCTTTTTGGGATCACTTTTTGTTTTCTAGTTTTACTTTTGTTTTTAGTCTATTTTGTTTTTTTTTTAGAAAATGTGTTTGATATTATTATAATTTATATGATTTTAAAAATAAAAAATATAAAGCATGTTTGGTAAGGTGTTTTTTTATTTTTTTTAACTATATTTTTATAAAACGGTTGGGTCCACATATGCTACAACATTAAGTTCTGCCGCCCATGACGTATATGGCAAGTTGTGGCGGGCGGTGGGCGGCGGAGCCTCGCACAATAATGCTTTAAAAAACATGTTCTGAAAATAATAAAAATATAATTTCTATCTTTTTGATATTTTGAAAACAAGCCCTATGTGTTTTAAAAATAAAATAAAAAAAACAAATAAATAAATATTATTTTTGAGATTGTTTCTGTTTTTTTGTTTTCAAAAATAGAAAACAAAAAATAGAAAGTGATCCTCAAATGAGGCCTAAGTTTTAAACCAGCACTCAAGTTGAAATTCATTCACTTAAAAGCTAAAAACAAAATTCATCCACCTTTTACAATAATTTGTCGTGGGTAGTAGAAAAATTTTGATTGACCTCAGCTCATAAAATAACTAATGTCATATCAAGTGTATCCTTATATTTACGATCAAAATAATTACATGTTGTAAGAATGTACCCCTAGTTTTCTGTGTAGGTTTGTAGGCAAATGACACCACAAAATAGCAATTACGACCAAAACTCTCTAATCGTGCCTTTTTTTTCCCAACAGCTTTTTAACTTTGAGTTGTGAACTATAATGTTGCAATTGATTGACATAAAGTTCTGTTAGTGAATACAACAACAACAACAACAACAACAACAAAACCTTAATCCCACTATGTGTGGCCGGCTACATGAAGTTCTGCAGCGAATATCGACTTAAATTTATCCTATTAAACAAATATCCGCCCTTGATCTAAAAGTATCCTCGAACAACGCAACTCATTATTGATGACAAGGATCTTTTAATTAGATTTGGTCGACTACCTCATCTAACTAAGTAGATCAGGGATTACGATGACCTGTGACGTTTGAATCATGGGATCTTGATTGGGTTCGTTTCATTTCCTCCACACCCGCTTTAAGCTCAAAGTGATAGATTTTACAATTTAAAATATATGTTTTCTTCTATTATATGTTGATTATTCGGTGTTAAATGACTAGCCTTAATCAAAAGTGCTCTCTCATTATTGGGAGGGGTAATTAACCTAGGGGTTTGCGCCTATGGGGAAACCTCGAACCCCAGATCAAAATGTCCTCACAAAATTAGGGTGAAATCTCTGGATAGTATTTTATCTACTATTTCATCTGCCTTATAAAAATTTGACCCTCAAAACTCTCTCAACACACAAAAAAAACAAAAAATAGAGTCCAAGGAGCAGTCAAAATTTTTGGAGCCCGTAACAAACTGTCCTTTTAGCACTTCCTACTAAGTAAAACTAGGGTCACATCACATCTAAGAACTGATAGACCTTTATGGTGTGCAGGGAACTAATATAGATAAGAGGTTGTCCTATTGCATGTTTGCCTCAGAAATTTTGCAAGGAGTTGTGAGAGCTGACAACCTAAGATATTTAAAATTGCAGTCTTTATCCAGCCAGCCATCCACATTGTCAAAAATCAAAGGAAAAAGTTTATCACAGCAACATTACGATTGAAAAGGCTAGGAACTGAAGGAATTACACACAATTAAATAAGCTTTAAACATAATAAATATTAACAAACTATAAACCTTCGTGCCAATAGAATATAAAACTTTTAACAAATAAAATATTACCTGCTACATCTATAGAACATATAAAAGGAAGCGATTGCAACAGAAACACCAGTCCATCCCCAAAGTGCAACAACAGCCGTAATCTTTTCGAAATTAGGCACTAGAAAAAAGTGCTTGTAAAATTGGTCATTTAGCTTAACAAAGAAGTTCTTATCTGCTAATAATCACTATGATCAAAAGCGTACTACTTACCATTAAGTACAGAGTTGATGAAAAGAACTACTTGAAAAATAAGAAAAGCCCATAAAATTGGAGCATTGCCGATCTTTGCCAGCTTTCCCTTGCAAAATTTGTCTCCACAGAAAATACCACTCACCCTGGTTGCATTAGACTAGATGAAGCACAAGTTAATACTGGTGACAAATTAATGGAATGCACATTTTCTTCGATGCTATAACATAGATCAAATTACAATTACTGTAATATGGACTACTGATAGAAGCAATTGTGCTACGATTTGAAAGCCATGTAAATGAATATCATTTGTATGCACTCTACACTATGTTTATGATTTGATAATAATCAAAATTTCTGCTCAAATTAAAAAAAATAGGCTTCATATCTAATTGAAAACTAACATAAAAAAGCAACGCTAAAATTTTTCACCAGGTAATCCAGAAAAATTAAGCAAAAAGAAGATGGGAAGACAAACAATCATGTGGAGAACGTAGAAACATTATCAGGCTTATTTAATTTTAAACCCAAGATGGGAAGATCAACAATCATGTATAGAATAGGGAAACAATATTATGCTTATTTACAAACAATCATGTGGAGAACGTAGAAACATTATCAGGCTTATTTAATTTTAAACCCAAGATGGGAAGATCAACAATCATGTATAGAATATGGAAACAATATTATGCTTATTTAATTTTAACCACACCAAATATCAACGTAGAAACTAAACGGAGTGCTAAATGAAGAAAAAAAAAGCACAAGTTAAGTATTGAGCAATTACATTAAGAAGCTAAAGCCAAGCTTCAAAGAGGATGTCATCAGAAATCTCATTCATCTAAAAAAACAGGGAAATATTTCTTCAGAGATCAGTTATCAACAACACCGTAGGATTCAGGTAAAAAAAAACTAGCCACTTTTAAGTTAGAAAACATGCCATAAAGAGATGCATTTACACCTTCCCATGCACCAACTGATCAAAAAACTAAATTTTCTCGAGTCTAAAGACTGGACTCGGATTAACAAATCTACCTTAATTTCTTAGATTAGACAACTTTAAGATACCGTGCTTAAGAAACCACATTATTTAAATTTCTGAAAAAACATGAGTGCTAATTACAAAAAAGTAGAACCGGAAACAAATAAATAGATAACTAAGTTAAAATAAGCTGAAATAAAATAGTGCTTGATAGACAATTGTATAAATATATTATAAGCCATTTTAGACAATTTAATTATTTAGCAAATTTACTTTGTTATTGTTTATATTATGATAAGTGTGTAGTTGTATGATAAAAAATGAATGGTGATATCAAACATAAATTTTGATCATGAAATAAATATGCAGTTCAACCAAACCTCAGATGGTTCACCAATTCCACGGTCCAACTTCCTATTCATCAAAATTTTATTGTGATTCGCATGTAAAACAAATTTAGGACCAAACTATTTAAGGAAACCATTCACAAATTAATTTGTTGGACCCATAGGTTTAGTCTGATTTTTAAACCAAAGCTGGAGACAATATAAGTCACAACATCTTTTAGCAATTTCAACTGTTGTTATCATCGTTGGTAGATGGTATGATGCCCCCAAAGTTACAGATCTAAAAGACGATGTGGCGCACATCAAGAGGCACAACCTCATATGCAACATTGTCAATGTGTTGCTCTATGATTGCAAATTAAAGGCGTATTATCAATCAACCTTGATGCATGCTAGAAAAATTGTGGCGGTAGAGTAATGAATTTTCGTCTTAGCGTTGCACGAGAATTCAGCAAACTACTGTAAGAGACTTCATTTTTCTTCACCAACAGGACGAGACTTCAAAAAAAGATCAAACTAGGCCTGATAATATCATCCTCGAGCATCTCCCGGATCAACTTCTCTATCTCATCTTTTTGAGTCTAGGGGTACCTGTATGGTCCGACGTTGATGAAAGAAATACACTCCTTCAATGTAATATCATGCTCGTGCTCCCTCTGGGGTGTTAACCTGCTTGGCTGCTGGAAAACATCAGTAAACTACTGTAAGAGCTGCTAGACCCCCTCTCAAAACTCCTCAATGCTCTCCAACTCCACCAGTAACTCAGTCCAGCTCCCCGAATCTACTTGACCATGGTATTGAGCGACATCAGAGTTTTGTATAAACTAAAATCTCCTTCAAGCACCACCTTCCTACCCTCCACTTGGAACTCCATCGTCAAGAAATTTCAATCCACCTTCATCTTTCTCAATGTTCGTAGTCACTTCATTCCCAGAATCACATCTATGTTGCCCAAATTTAAAGGAAAAAAGTTTTCCGCCACTCATAGGCCATGTAGTGTCAGAACCGACCCCTTGCAAATTCCTCAATTTTTTTCCACCTTCCCTATCCCCATCATAACGCCAAAGCTCCCTGTAGTCACAAGCTTCAACTCTAGCTTCTCCACGACCTGATTTGAGATAGAGTTACGTGTGGTCCCACTATCCAACAACTCCACAATTGGTTGTTTCCCGATCCATTCTCTCACCTTCATGGTGTGATTCGGAGTAAATCCCACCACCGAATACAGGGACACCTCCACCACATCAAAATGCAGATGCTCCTCCTCCCCTGCTTCCTCTTTTGATTCCTTACTCTTTGCATCCTCCTCCTGAACTAAAAAAACCTTAAGGGCGCGCTCCTTTCCACGGTCTCCTTGGGCATATTTCTTGTCACATTGGTAACACGATCTTTTAGCTCTTTTGTCTAGCACTTATGCATCTGTGAAGTGCTTGAAATTACCCCGGGTCGGGTCCAGTACTACTCTCCTTCGGCGTCTCTTTCTGAAATGACACCGTCTGGGTCCTCGGTGTTATGACTATCACGGTGCTCTTGTAGAATACCCGATGTTGTTGCCTTTGTCGACCTTTTTCACCTGTTTCTTATCCTCAATCAACTGGGCGAGCTCCATCATTTCCCTCATCCATGTGGTCTCAAGCAGCGAATGACTGCTCGTATGTCGGGCTTCAGGTCTTTCAAGAAGTTTCTTTCCAAGCCTGCTGCAAAAATCCCCCTCAACCTCTGTAACAAGACCTCAAACTTCTCTCAGTACTCCATAATCGTCCTCTCCTGAGTCAAAGCATAGAATTGCTCGTGTAGGTCTCCTTCTCGAATGACTCGAAAACGTTCCAACAAGCAATCCTTAAACCCCTCCCGTGAATGTATCGAACTGGAACCACGCTAAAGCATTCCCCCTCCAAGCATAATCTCGCTGCCATGAGCTTCTCTTCCTCAGTCAACTCGTTGATCGTAAAGTATTGTTCCACCCGATACACCCATCCATGTGCATCTTCCCCTTTGAGGATTGGCATCTTCAGTTTCTTGACCCTTACAACTCCACCCCAAACTCCTCTTCCTCCTATATTTCTCCCCATGTGTCTAAGATGAAACTCCCTTTTTCGGTCGTAAGCATATCCCACTTCCGAACCCCTCCTTCCTCCTTCGTGCTCCTCCGTGCTCGTTACACCATCCATCCTCTAATTTTCGGCCCATCCTCGTCTATCAGAAATCTCCACCCCCACATATATCAGAAGTCCTTAGGGGACGATCTTGTAGGTAGATGAGGCCTTCTTAGTTATTTTCTCGCTTGTTCTCATTCACTTTTGACCAAGTCAAGGATTTCCTGATTAACCATTGGTTAGAATTGGCAACTAAAGCGATTGGGATGGCCTTGGATTGCATCTCCATAAGCTTTTTCATCATCTCCCGCATTTCTCCTATGCTTTCAAATTCATCCTTCATTCAACTATCAATGGAAGAAAACCTGCCCTCAGTGTTGGTGAACCTCTCTTCCAATCCTAATTTGATTTGGCCTAACTCGCATTCCAGCACATAAACTTTCTTTGTTATCATCCCACCAAGAACTATGTTCTAATACCAATTAAATACGTCCCCGCACCAAAATCAACAAACAAACCACAACGCAATTGAAATAGATGAACATAGCACAAATAAGAGCTGATCTTACAACAATCAAAATACAAGGTTGATCTACTATTGAGAGGTAGATCATCTCTCTCAAACCCCTAGACGTCGCTAGAAAAACCACAAAAAGAAAGAAAACAACAGCCACAATAAAAAATGCATGAAAATAAAATAAATCTTAGGTTCCCCCTTAATAGAATCCTCATACAGTATTTGAAAACTTTCCTTCTAAACTTCCCTCCAAACTCCCCTCATTTTCTCCTCCTTGAATATGTGATTATGGTCATAGTGGACCCCAAACATTCCTTTCCTTCCTCTGCACCTTGCCCAGCTCCCTCACCTTCTTTCCGCAACAAAGGCCGGCCCATTTGTTGGCCGGCGGGATTGCCAACGACCGGTCCCTCATGGACCAACTACGTGTTGGGCGTAACACAGGCATGGCACCACTGAGAGTTCATCATCTCATTTTATTCAAAAAATGTGAATAATCCACACTACAACAACAACAAAGCCTTAATCCCACTATGTCTACATGAATCCTTTTTTATTATTGCGTCCTATTTAGTGTCATATTTTCATTTAGTTCTAATAAACTACGATCATTTTTTATACAATAAGCTCAAGTCTTCCTAGGTCTACCTCTGCCTTTCTTAATATAACTCAAATATGAAACATCTACTCTCCTAATCGGATCATTAGATGGTCGACGCTTAATGTGACCAAACCATCTAAGACGACTTTCTCTAATTTTGTCTGTCACAGGAGCTAGACCGACCCTATCACGGATATATTTATTTCGCATTTTGTCTCTAAGTGTAAAGCCGCTCATCCTCCTGATCATTCTCATCTCGGCAACACTTAACTTAGTATTAGACTTCTCTTTTAAAGACCAACATTCAGCGCCCTAGAGCATTTTATATCTCACCACCGTCTTATAAAAAATTCCTTTCAGTCAAAGCAGTACTTTTCTATCACACAAAAGGCCCGAAGCATTCCTCCACTTCAACCAACCAACTTAAATTCTACTATTAACATCCCCATGTATATCATACCATCACTTTGAACAACAAACTCGAGATATCTAAATCATTCACACCCTTTAATAATTTGATCACCCAAAGTTACACTTCTGTCACTAGAGCGACTACTACTAAAATTACATTCTATGTCCATAATCCACACTAACAAAAATAAAATATGAGGCAAGAATTATACGAGAAAGTAGATGATACTTTAAAAGCATTATGATTAAATCCATAGCCTTTTTAAAATTATTTGGGATGTGCGACAAGAATCTACTTTCTACATTTATTCTTCTTGAACGCTACATGATATGTTAGCTCACTTTAAATAAGTGACTTCATGCAAATTCTACATACATTTAGTACATCACCGTTATATCTTATTTTGGACACTTATGATTTGACACTCAACAAAGAATAAGTGTATTACATACATTGTTGTTGCCGTACTTTTGTTGGCATAATCATTAAGTCACCGTCATTGCATATTTGTGTATTACTAATTGTGGATAAATGATTTAATCAAATAAAAATTGAGTAATTACAATTGAGTTATTTATCAAAATTATGGTGGATAGCTTAGATTATCCACACTTTAACATATCAAATCTTGTACAATGTCTCCTACACTTGTACACATATACTTATGTATCTAATTAATAAATCCAATTATGGTTCTAATAATTGTCTTGCTTGAAAGAGTAATATTCTATTCAAAATATCAAAAAGAGTACAAAACAATATTACTAAGCATGCACAAATTGAGATCTATCATCCCGAAAAAGAAAAAAGGACATGAAACACGTGTGCATGCTTCAACAAATCATGTAAGGCTTGTTGTGCACAAAAATGAGCAGTCTTGTTGAACTCTTTAGGATAAAATGAAACCAAATTTGTTTAAATTGAGACAGAAAAGCAATGTCAGCACCATCCATTGGTCAGAAGCTCCATCTCTTTTCAACAATGCACTGTTAAGAAAATCGAACACATTGCTATTGTCCTGTCAAATATGATTCCTTTCATATCAAACATCTAAGCACGTATATTGATATTTGACATACCACTTGCTTTCATTATTGGACATTTAACCTCAATATATTTTCAAAAGCAATTCATTAAATATTTAATACCAAAGTTAACACAAACAACAAGAAAGCAAATATTATTATTGAAAAGCAACTAGAAGGTTACAACTAATACAAGAGAAAACAACATACACCACACACAAAGTCAACTAGATTTGTATCCCAAAGGGGTTGTGCGTTTATGCGGATTATACGGGCATTAGATGTCTTAAGGGTTGTAGTGGCGTGTAGATAGAGGAAAGGCAGCAGGGTGTAAGCCGGTAGCTGTGGAAGGTTTGACAGGCGACTGTAATAGGTGGATGTGAGGGTGGTTGTGGTCGGCTACAGAAGGATGGGGTATGAGGGTTGTGGTTGGGCTGCAAGAAGTGAGGTTAGATGCTGCTAGACTGCACGTTGAAGGTAAGTTGGTGTGGCTGAACTGCAGGTGGAGATAGGATGGCGTGGTTGCACTGCAGGTGGAGATATGAAGGTTATGTTTGGAGGGCGATAGCAAGGTGAATCGTTGGACATGGAAGGTGGCATCAAGGAAGATGGGAGGAAAGTGTAGGGGCCAGCTGGAACTGCAGTAGAACAATAAATATTTGCTGACCGGGGCGGCCGCAACAAGGAGAAGGGATGACGGCTGCAAAGGAGAGGATGCGGGGAAGGGAAAATCGAGGATAGTCACCAACTCAAAACGAGATAAAGCCGGTGCACTACTCGCCCTTGAATACAGCCGAAGAAGGGTATAAGGGAAAAAGGAGATGCCAATAGCCTAACAAAATAAATACCTAAAACTAGCCCTAGAACATCAGGAACGCAAATATATAGCCCTAGGATAACAAGAGGTACACCCCCCACCCCCAAAAAATATAGAGAGGAGTTAATCCCACACAAGGAGTCAGTCGGCTCTCAATTTTGCTTCTGAAATGGTCACAACTGCCCAAGTGATACCGCGTCCGATCCAAAGTCAAGAGTCGCCCATGTCAAGTCTAGTAGTAGGATACATCTGCGTCAATGTCATTTTGCACCCAATACACACCACTTTTGGGTGTTCTTGACACAAATAAAACAAAATCATAAGTACTAGTAGATCATGAAAACAATAATCCACAATCTATTTTGAAAATGACTGAGGTGCAACCTAGTTCACAAATGAAAATTTTGAAAATGACTCTGAGGTGCAATGTGAATTTCACAAATAACAGCTAATGCATGTCCCTGGACATGGCACCATTAAGAGTTCATCATCTACATATTATGCAACAAATGTGAAGAACCTACACTAACAAAAACAAAATATGAGGGAAGGAGTATAAAAGCTTTTAGATGAAACTTTGAAGGCATTAAGATTAAATCCATAACCTTCTTAAAATTATTTGGGATGTGCAATATGAATCTCCTTTCTTCATTTATTATTCTTGAATGCTACAGGATATGTTAGCTCAATTCTAGACAGATGTCTTATTGCAAATTGTACATACGTTTAGTGCAACGATAAAAATAACAAAGACAAACCCCACAAGCATAATAAAAGATGAGCTTTAAATAATATATACTGCGAACAACAGAAATAGAAGATCATTGGATCTATTATACTATTTGAACACTTAAACTACATTTACTGAAAAGTAATCTACAAATTATCTATACTACCATCAAAAGCCATAAAAAAACCAATGTAACAATCTTCTGAATGCTTATTTTGGATCATGGAAGAAAAACACCAAAAAATACTAATTGTGAATTCCATGTTCAGTGCACATCTAGAAAAGCTATACATAAAAATTCAACATCAACTGGTATATACTATTTGAACACTTAAACTACATTTACTGAAATTATAAAAAGTAATCTACAAATTATCTATACTACCATCAAAAGCCATAAAAAAACCAATGTAACAATCTTCTGAATGCTTATTTTGGATCATGGAAGAAAAACACCAAAAAATACTAATTGTGAATTCCATGTTCAGTGCACATCTAGAAAAGCTATACATAAAAATTCAACATCAACTGGTATTCCAAGTGGAATTAAGGTAGAAGTAAAAAAAAAATTATAGCTTTTTTGAATTTCACCGTTAGTTTAACAAATAACATATACTTATCTTCCATTATTAGTTTCATCTAATATACATCCATATCTCATTTTTTTTATTTTATTTTCTATTTAATATTAATATTTGCTTATCATCTAAAATTAGAAGGAAATATTTGATGAGAGCGGGCAGGCATATGGATCAAGTCAACCGACCATACATAGGTAATATCACAATCCAATGAAGATATTAGATGATCTAATCATGCCATGGTTGCATCATTACCCTAGAATTGAATGGGTATCAAGAATTTGAATTTTTAAGTAGAACCATGCAAAAGATCTAAAACATTTTCCTTCAATACTACCTGATTTGAAGATTTAAGTATGCTCGTGTCTTTAAAAACATAGCCAAAGATGGCTTCCTAATTGCAACATAATGAACACAAAGAACTCTTAGAGGTTTGCATTCTTCTTCAGCTTTTAATAGGTGGATTGAAAGATGAGAGACGATGAGCAAACCAAACTTTTTTATTTCTCCGACTATATATCAGTTACTCCTCATTATTGCCCATTTGGATGAATGTTTTGATTATAGAACACTGTTATCCATATACAATTGTGGCAACTGCAACTTAATAAAAGCTAGCATGTATTCCAGTAAACATATAAACTCGCTTACAAGAATAAGGGCAGCATGCTTTTGACCCCTATCTGAGGCAAGCTGAACTGGAGTGAATCCTGATTTATCCTTCACGGTCAGTTCTTGTTTAGTACCCGCCTGTATGAGCACATTGCATACCTCTGCACTACCACTAATCGCAGCCCAGTGTAAAGGCGTACAGCCTAATAAAAAGGTATCATAGAATGAGTGAGCATTCTTAACCTTGTAAGTTTGGATAGTGGCAAAACTGATCACAATTTGAAATGTGCTTAATAGAAGGATAGCCAGACTGAAATATATTACATAGAAATCAGACATATGTATTCTCCCCATGTGCATCAGAATAAGATTTGGTGAAAAAATAGAGAGTATCAGCAGGGAATGGAAATATGTAGAACAGACATACTAAGAAGTAAACAAGTGCTGACCATAGTTCAACCAAATTTCAAATTTTCAAACAGATACTTTTGAAGTGCTTACCATATGCCACCTTCATGAGTTAAAACTTCTTGAAAGTATGATAGATTGTCCGTTGTCACTTTGTTTGGCATTATTGCCTTCTATTGTGTTAATTAATGTTGTGCTGCCCTACAGGGTAAAGTGAGTGATTATTTGATAAAATGTTAACGTTGTCATCTGCAGCGCTGTACAAGGTGTGCTTGTTTGGTGAAATATTTTATAACATTAAAATGAGTTAATTGAAAGATCTAAATTGGCATCATTATGAATTTCATGAATATATAATACTCTTAACATTACCTGGCTTCTAATAAAGATAGATCATTAAATAACTTACCAGAAAAAAAAAAAATTCATGAAAAGAACTTTTCAAGAAAAACTGCATAAAGTACAGTTATAAATATGTTCTGATAAAATTTCATATTAACTGAACTTGGTCTCATAGCTGTTGGGACCAGACACCCTAAAAGTGTTTATAATATTCAAGAAAACAGAAGCAGGAAGCCAATAAGCCGTAGTAAACAAGGCCGTAACCTTGCTATTTTCATACATAAAAAAATAATAATAATAATAAAATTTAAAGATATTCACAATCAAAATTGATAAAAAAAAAAACCATTGAGACAGAGAGAACAAATGTTTAAGTAGCATTTTTCTCTAACAGATTTCTAACCTTGAAAAATAAATCGAGCTCCGGAAAAACAAGTAGCAAAATGGTAATGCCAACTAATGTGCACTTCTTTTGTATATATGTGTCTCATTTTTTAATGTTCGAATTTTTTTTCCAATATTTTCCTGCAGGTGTTTCAATATTCACTAAAAACACCCAAATTACAGTTATAATAGAGCAAATGGAAAATTATAGCTGAACATATATGATGTAAACCACTTCAAAACGAGAAATAAGAAGTAAAAATTCCATTCATAATGTACCTTGATTATCTTGCCTTCCTTGGCTAGCATTCCAAAACAAAAGTAACCTAACTGTATCAGCAAATCCCTTGTAAGCAGCCCTAAATATATCATTACAAAAATGGCTCAAATGGCAAACAAAATTATCATAATTCAATTAATATTGGATGCCACAGAATAGAGAATACTAATAGAAAACTGTGGCTAGAACTAGTAGAGCTACTAGAACTTCCTGGAAAGAAAACTAGCGAGTGAACTTTGGTTACAATTGATATATATATATATATATATATATATATAATGGAAATGAAACATATGAAAAATTCATTAAAAGACAATTTCTACAATCATAAATAAATAATGGAATCATTTTGAAGTAACTAGTCCAGCTCATGAGTTGCTAGTAGGGTTGTAAACAAGCCGAACATGAGCTGCTCACAAACAAAAAATCGTTTTGACAACTCTAATCATGTAGCCATATAATGTTAAGAGTTGGGGCAAGATTTAAAAATTATTGTTTATATTAAAACATCATTTGAATCTAATTTAATAATTTTTATTCTATTTTCTTGATCAATACTTTTAATTGATTATAAATCTTTGTAGCCATGTAGTCAATTAAATTTTTTAAAAATACTGCTCATCAAGATATATATATATATATATAATTGATGAGTAGTACTTCGAGCCAAAATGAGTCGAACATGAACGAACAATTTTTTGTTCATCTTCGGCTCGTTGCCCTAGCGAACGAG